CTGGTAATCTCCATGGACAGCTCCAGACGCACCGTGAGACACAGACACAATGAGTTAGTTTAGTTCATTTATTATGCACCCCATACCCATCCTGTGGGCGGTAGTGGAAAGGGTTACAGAGGCACATAATGGGCTCAGGAACTGAACCCCACAATTCATTTAGCTAAGCAAGTTACAATCTTGATGAGCTAGTTACAAAATTTAATATAAGTCGTCACATCAACAATGGGTTCGAGATCGACCTCAAAGACACAATGATCAGCCCAATACACCACGACAGCCACCAACCACATTACTCTCCACTGAAGAAGTCGCCGACGACGGAGATTCCGGGATACAGACTGGGGGTATATGAGGGCTCCTTGGGCCAGATTCACGAAACAACTTACGCAAACACTTACGAACCTGTACATCTTTTCTCAATCTTTGGCGGCTTTGTTTACAATTATTAAATAGTTAATGAGCTCCGAAGCACCAGGAGGCTGTTTATAACAATAACAACAGTTGAATGGGAAGTTTTCATGCTTGTAAATGGTTTAATAAATGTAACCAAAGCCTTCAAAGATTGAGGAAAGATGTACACGTTCGTAAGAGGTTGCGTAAGTGCTTTCGTGAATCTGGTCCCTTGTCGCTAGACACCAGTTACATCCTCACTCCTGTGTCAGGTAAGTCCACTAACGGGATCACCATAGCCCGTGCTACTTGGAACTTTTTGTTCCAAGTAGCGAATCTTAAACAACAACAACAACAGCCAGAGTTATGACGACTCTTGGGAAGGTGATCATTGAAGGTTCTTTACCACCAGGTGTTATGACGTCATCACAACACTGGGAGATGGGATTCGATTGATTGATTGATAAAGATTAAGCCACCCAAGAAGTGGCACGGGCAGGAATAACCCGTAAAGATGGGATTCAAAAGGGCGAGACATATGCAGGAGCCCGAGGCAGCAACTTTGAGCACCTCACCCCTCAACACCACACGAGGCAACACCTCACTCACTCACTAACTCACTCATTCACTCATTCCCTCTCATCCCACAACACCAAGACCCAACACCCGGTTCACTAACAAGTGCCTATAAATTTTCATCTTTTTTTAGATAATCTGTCGTTAACTTTTTCGTATATTCGTAATTACTTTTGGTAATAAGTAATTACCAAATCACGTAATTATTTTTTGATATAATAATATCAACCAGGCTGTGATTCATGTCAGGCTGCGAGCAGCCGAGTCCAACAGCCTGGTTGACCAGTCCAGTAATGAGGAGGCCTGGTCGAGGACCGGGCCGCGGGGATGTTGAGCCCCGAAATCATCGCAAGGTAACCATGAGAAGCAAGTAGAAAGAAAGGGAAGTTGCAAAATGAAAGAGATTGAATTAATGTAAGAGGTCCAGTGATCTGTTTAACTTATGAAGAGTTTAATTGGTGTTCTCTGTATCTGAGCGTCGTATGTAGCGAGTGTTCAGCATCTAGTAATGTGTTTTATGCCGTGTAGTCAGGGTGGTGGCGCGCGCGTGCGCACACACACACAAACACACACATACACACACAAACACACACACACACATATTCACCTCTATTAGGTGAGTACACACACACCAGTAGGTTGACGATTGAGTGGCAAGACCAAATAGCCGAAGCTCAACCTCCGCAAGCACAACTAGGTGAGTACACTCTCTCTCTCTCTCTCTCTCTCTCTCTCTCTCTCTCTCTCTCTCTCTCTCTCTCTCTCTCTCTCTCTCTCTCTCTCTCTCTCTCTCTCTCTATCTATCTATCTCTCTCTCGGAAAAGGTTCAGAAGTTTGTGACGACGGGCTCGTTCCAGAGTTATGATTGATGGAATATGAAGAGCGCCTGAAGGAACTGAACCTTACGACACTAGAAAAAAAGAAGGGAGAGGGGGGATATGATAGGAACGTATAAAATACTCAGGGGGATTTGACAGAGTGGAAATAGGTGAAATGCTCACACGGAATACTAACAAAACGAGGGGACATGAGTGGAAGCTGGATACTCAGATGAGTCACAAAAATGTTAGAAAGATTTCTGTTAGCGTGAAAATAGTGGAAAAATGGAATGCACTTAATTTTTGTTGTAAAGCAAACTCTTCTCATAACTTTAAAACTAGATATGATATGGAAATGAGACAGAAGTTATTGCTGTAAACAACCGATGGCTAGAAAGGCGGGATCTGAGAGTCAATACTCGATCCTGCAGGCACAAATAGGTGAGTACACACAACTAGCACCTAGATGAAAAAAGGGCTTTTGACCCATGTATTAACATGGATATTAAACGCGGCGCCACAGGCCCTCAGCGTGCATCTAGCATTGATCTTTAATTATTCAATTACATATTTGCAAGGGTTAATTGCACAGTATTTGTATTTGATTTACGTGGGTGAAGCATTTATAGTGTTGCGGTTCAAACACAGGTCGACAGCTAAACACTGTTCGAGAAATGTTCGAACATCAGTTGTGCGTCGTGTGTAAACCGTTTTCATTTATACACAGGGGGTTTGGCGGCTGTATTAACGAGCACTTGGTTTTTGTTGATGAGGATGGGCCGGTTTATGCAGCCCGTCCTCATAAACAAAAGCCAAAGTCCATGCCATCCACCCGCCAAACCCCCTGTTTATGAATGAAAAACGGTTTACACGCGACTCACAACTGATGACGTTCTTAATAATAACTTAGAACGAAGTGTACATAAGGGTCTATGCATAAATATATTAAATATTTCGGTAACGATTTTTATATTTCATCCCAAAATGCCTTTAAGTAAATTCAGGAGTGGACACTAATAGGATTTTCCGGACCCAGCCATTTATGGAAGTGTGTCGCACATGGTAACGACCTGACTGGCAGTCTCGACTTACTGTAATGATAATCCTCAAGGCCGTGCCTGAGGTCACTGTGCCAAGGAGGTCTTACTCTTTGGTCTGGACTCTGAAGGATTTGTTGGGATATCTTCAAGAAAAGTGGTCCCAACAAATCACGTGTGTGATTCGAAGAGTGTGTTTAACGTTCATCTTGATGTGCATGCAGGAACGAGTTGTACTTCCAGTTCCGCCTGCTGAACGTTCTTAGTTTAATACAGTGACTCGGTTCACATGTTTTTATTTCACAATTTTAGTTAAAATTGTACATCAAGCGAACTTCAACGATCAATTCAACTAATCTGCACTATTTATTGACGGTTCTAGCGCTGACATCTATGATTCATTTGTCTAAGTGTCCTCGTTCAACCGTTTCTAGCTCTGATCAATGATTATTTGTCTAAATTGTCATTCCCCTGTACAATCATATGAGTAGTTTTTATGCCTCTTGTTTCCTCTCAACCCCAGCAGATGAGGTCCAGGTCCATCGGTTTGTCATCGAACACTTGAGCTCAGAAGGAGCCTTTAATGTTTTGTTTACTATGTCACCAGTATGTCAGCCTTTCCACCGGAAAGGCTGACATACTCTTTATTAAATATTTCCGTTTATTAGGGTTCTAATGGCAGACCAGGTTTCTCCTGGATACCTGAGCATTTGCGATTTATACGTCCGACTGCGAGCAGTTGCATCTAACAGCTTGGTTGATCAGTCCACTAACCAGTAGGCCAAATCAGAGGCCAGCCTGAGGGGACATTGATCCCGGAACTATCACAAGGTAATTAAAATAAGTTAAGTTCTTCGCATACTTTATCATTATCTGTGTAGCCTCCTTCTCTTTAGTGTTGACTGATCATCTGGTCCCTCAATCGTCTTCCTCCTAATGTGGTAATGTAGCAGGTTTAGGTAGGTATTAAGCCGTAGATGCTATATAATTCTCGGAATATAGCATAGACTGTTATGTATATGAATACCCGCAGACTGGTATCCACAGTGTAAAACGCAACCCATCATGTTTAGATAGCAATGTTTGTAACTGTTCACCATCGAACATGTATTGGCGTAATTGGTAATTATTAGAATTTGGTACTATTCAATTTATAGTCCAGAAAAAATCAAGCAAAAAATCAAATTTAAATATTTTAGGCCTAGGATAACGCATATATACTATATTAAGCCTCAGATAACGTGTATTAGGCCTAAGATGGTTACGTTAGGTTGGGTTTTATTAGCATAACTACAAAACCATTTCCGGTTTATCCAAATTCAATAGTACTAAGCTCTACTTTCAATTGTCCATCACGTCAGTATATGAACTATGGTCCACATCGTTACTACACGTGTTATCTACACAGGCAGATGGGCTGTATAGATACGAGCATGAACACGAGCATGAACGTAAATAAACATGTGAAATTCTTAATTCAAACATATGTACATAATTTATTAGGTAATAGCCATGTGTTTTTCATGATTAGGCTTCAATAATTCATCCTAGCCCGATCACATAACACAAAATAATAATTTACTCGCATACTTTTCTCTAACCAGCTATTATGTAATATTCACTGTAAAAAGAATTATTATAAGAGCGATAATGATGTGTGAAAAAATATATAATTAATAGGAAATACAAAAAGTGTGGCGGAAGGAGTTACATCAAAGTTCTCCCAACCAGCCTCTCATCCGAGGGACTGAGTCCACTTCCCCCCAGCCTAGAGAGGGTAAATGGAATCGGCATTGGGCACAAGTTGATCTAATTTTTTCGTTAGTTTCACACGGCGTGGTATTTAGTACGAACTGTTGATAGAAAAGCTCATTAATTCTGTTCATTATGAAAGTGAATAAATTACGTGAATTGTTTCCTAACTACATCAATGAAATAATGTGTGTACTATTTCTTTATGGGCAATTTATACTGTTGTTGATTACGATATTTCGAGCTTGGATACGTTTTGTTTTTTCAAATTACGAATTAGTATTTCCAACTTTTGGACTTTCTGAGTGACGTAGATAAATTAAAAATAAGAAAATCAAAGGCACAGTTCGTAGCGACAAAAATAAAGAGAAAATATCGTGTGTGGCAACTGAGCCTCGTGGTGAGCTCCGGCTGATTCAACTTACACCGCCATGGAGAGTTCAGTCTTGGCTGAGACGTGGTGGAGGGTGGGTTGTGCGTCGCTCCGGTACTGGCACGCTCCTCTCTTCCCTGAAGGATTGTTTATCGCGGAATTCAGTGGAGGAGTTTACGATCTTGGCAATTGGCCGGATGTTGTGGTTATAAGTGAAAGGCTGTGGATATCGGTATGGTGTCGAGGGATTGTTGAAGCACATGATAAAAGTTGTATACTTATGTATATCTAGTGATAGATAAAATTTGTGAATATCTGAAAGGAAGTTGCAAACTACAGCAGCCCTAACGAACCAAGCACCAACAGGATATTATTATATTGTGCGCCATCTGGGACCTCAAGGAATGTAAACGTCATGGGAGAAGTGTGTATCAGGAGCGGCTGCCTGGTGTAGGCCACACGTGAACCACCCCAAGATGGGCGGGGAGGGTGTGGGCGGCCCCACTGCCGGAGGTGGCTACACGCCCGTCCTGCTGTCCGCCCTCCTGGCCTTCGTCATCACTCCATGTACAGGTAAGCCTCCAGATCAACCTTAGGGATTGATCTTGGGATCAGTGTCTCCCTTGGACCCTCAGGTTCCATTTCTCCCGTGGAACCCTTCAAGATTCCGTTTATCCATTAATCTCCACTCATGGAGGGTGCAGTTTCATATATGCATTGGACTCCATGCGGGTTCCATTTATGCATTGGATCCCCATTCGGGTTCCATTTATGCACTGGAGCCTTTTCTGGGGGTATTATTTAAACATTGGGCCCCCACCCTTCGTCAGTGAATGTTTGAGTTGTAAAACCAGAGACTGTTTATACCGGAGGTCGGTGAATGGCTTTTTTTAAACTGTTAAGAAGCTCATAAGCATTCGCCAAAGATTACGAAGTGTAAGTGTTCCTTAAGACAGTCTATCAGGATCTCGAAAAAAACACAATGGATTGTTATTTTCCGGAAATTGAAACTGAAATTCTTATCCAGTGTTCGGTTACTACGATGCTTCGTGATGTCCGATCACATTATTTCAGCTTAGCGAGTGTCTTTGTCTTGAAATAATATTGTAAGGTGATAATGTTGTGCACATATCACGTATAAACTGTAATATATATTAGGAACATTTTCATCATATATATAAATACACATCATATTTGTGACTGTTCCTATACTAAAATCTTCCATAAAGTATACAGTATTCCGGTTTAAGGAGTTTTTTGTGATTTGCTTGTTGCCGCCAGAGGCGACTAGTTTATTGTGCACCCCATACTCGTCCTGTGAGCGGTAGCGCAAAATGGATTATAGAGGGCACAAAAGGTTTTTATCAAACCCCAACGGTGCTTTGTAAATTTCGTGAAAATTATATTTATGGGGACATTTTGATATAATTACAACCTTATTCACTCTGGTGTCCATGATAATATCCTCATAATGCATCCAAAGTTTGCCAATGCAGACTGCTGATCACATGGCCATGCATGACTAAACACCCTGTGTTATGGGGATATTTTAGCATCACGAGCCACAACCAGAATATTCATCACGTAGCAAGAAATCTTGACACACTCCGTACAGTCCTTCATATAGCCTCGAGTCGCTGCATAAATTCAGATGTACCTAAATGTGCCAATAACAAAAAAAATATAATTGAACAGATAAAAAAATGATGAAAACTGAAGTTAACATTTAGTTTAATTATACACTTTACCGAGGATTTTTTTTGTTAATATCATCACTGTGCATTTGGAAGCCTTACGTGTTATTGTCGTCTCAAGTGCTTGTACAACAGTTAACCGCAAGAAGTCTCGAGTGTTATCTTGGACACTTGAACCAGTGTAATGGTCTGCAGCAGGAAACTTCCAATATTATCGTAAACACTTGTCAGTTTGCACCAGGAAGCCCCGAGTGTTATCATGGTGACTTGTAACAGTTTACAGCAGGAAGCCTCACGTTTTATCGTTGACACTTGTAACGGTTAAGAGTAGTGAAAGTGATGGACACCGCCTTGACCACTACCTGAGCGAATGCGAACATCTAAGAGTCCATAAAAATATTTGCAGATTAATAAACCCGACATTGAGTTAAACACTATTTGTTAATTTTAAGATACTGTTCTTGAGAGATTTCCCCCCGCAAGATAATGTAAGAATTTAAGGGTTGACAATGTTAATCTTCTTTGAGGAGCTCTTCACTTGAGACAGTTAAGCAAGTCCCAGCTCTGTCTGGGTACAAGTGATAGGACACAGAAATTGTGATTTCTGTGTGTAATGAAATAAGGGCGAAGAGGGAGAACGGCATATTGACAGAGCTCGAATGCATGGGGGGGAGTTGTGTAAAACCCTGGTTTGTGCCTCGGAAAGGCTGCAGGATCCAGTAAGTTCAGTAGAACTTCAGTTTCAACTCCTTTTGACCATGTCGTAGCTCAATCGATTAAGGCAGCGTCTGGGATGCTCTTGGACGTAGGTTCGAATCCTCGTCACGGCTCTTGTGAATTTGTTCATTTGATGCATCACGCAATTGTGATTTCTGTGTGTAATGATAGGATGAACAACCCAGCTTGTTTTCTTCCTACTGGGGGTGTTGTACATGCTGCTATGGCAGTATGTCCACTCACAGGATGAGTGGCGCTGCCCAATAACCCCCCCCCCCCTCTCTCGGAGCAAAATTTAAGTAGGAAGCCTCAATTATTATTGGCGTTATTTTTCATGGGTTCTTCAAGCTAAGCCCTTATCTATATCATTTCGGGGAAGATCCCGAGGAAAGCTTGGGAAAACACACTCTTTCTAGATGTTAATATATATTTTTCATCTGAACCTTTGCAGACTCATCTTGTTGCATTGTGTGAGCGCATATACTTTGCTTTCATAACAGTGGACGTGTTTACCTGCCTCAAATATTGCACCTCAGCACGGTATTCAGGTTTAACGTGTATAAAGAGATACATTTAGCATTCCAGTCGAGTGTTGCAGGGAACATTACTCGACGAGGCAGTCCAGTATATAATACGATTGTGTTGGACATGAACTGGGGTAGCTGTCGTGCGTTAGCGGCCAGAGGGGGTGTTTCGCTAGTGCATATTACGAACTAGGTGCTGATCTCATACTAGGTGGTTAGGGGGGGAGGGCCGAAGATGATATTGTTGAGTTAAGCTCTCGAAAATTCAACATTTATGCAAAGCCAAAAGTTTTAAAGTTGAAGATTTCCAATTTGTGTTATTCTTTTAATCTAGTTTTTATTTATTTTTCCTTGTGGATAAGAATTGTTTTAGAATTATGAAAAAATAGGATTAAAGATACTAGAAGGAAGTCCTTAGTACATTAATGACATTTAATACAATAATAGATTATAACGTCAGTAGTTATAATAACAAATAATTATAAATAATTTGTATTACTATCGTCTTTCAATCTTAAACTTTCCCCAACCTACATGCATTCAACTTGGCGAGGTCTGGCTTTCATAGCCCGCCTCCCCTACCACCACTACCATCCGGGCAAACAATAGGCGGTTAACACAAAGGAATGCAAGAAAATAAACTGTTTACAAATGCACTAAATATAATTAATATTGATCATAATATGCAGCTGTAAATATGGGATGTGACTTAAAAGAACATTGTATGATGTAATATTTTCTTGTTTATAAAAGTTGTGTAGTTCACATCAGGTGTAGCCTACTTCTATTTTTTACTTGGTCATATTTGTAAGAAGTTTTAAGCGTATGTTAATGTAAAACTTTAAAATGTTATAATAGCTCTAGTGTGGAATCGCTTGATAAGCTGTAACACTAATAAATTTGTTTCATGATATTTGTGAATTGGATTTTATATATATATTAATATATATATTATATATATATATATATATATATATATGTATATATATATATATATATATATATATATATATATATATATATATATATATATATATATATATATATATATATATATATATATATATAATATATATTATATATATATATATATATATATATATATATATATATATATATATATATATATATATATATATATATATATATATATATATATATATATATATATATATATATATATATATATATATATATATATATATAAAATAGGGGTACCACCTCTGGTGCAATTGTAGGGACCCACAGCCTCGAAGAAGAAAATAAAGAGTATTCAGAGAAGCCCTTGTGGATTCTCACTGAACACTTTAATCTTTTCTTCTCCTTCCACCCCTACTATATATATATATATATATATATATATATATATATATATATATATATATATATATATATATATATGCAGAATAACCACATATGAAAAATAGAAAATGCTTAACGCGTTTTCGGCTAATTCGCCTTCATCAGAGCAAAGTAGAATGAAGATAAGTTTGCTGATCAGACCAGCAAACTTATCTTCATTCTATCTGAACTTCATTCTATCTGAACTTATCTTCATTCTACTTTGCTCTGATGAAGGCGAATTAGCCGAAAACGCGTTAAGCATTTTCTATTTTTCATATGTGGTTATTCTGCATACTTGGATCAGTGTTTTTGTGATCATTGTTGCATATATATATATATATATATATATATATATATATATATATATATATATATATGTGTGTGTGTGTGTGTGTGTAAATCACGAAAATTAACACGTGATGAAAGATGTGACAGTGTCAGATCACGGAGGAAGAATTGAAACAGGAATTTCCTTAAGTACCTTCGTATATAATATATATGTATATACAGTATATATATAATCTCATAATATGAAAAGTATGATTCTCTTGATTAACAAAGATAGGATGTATATTTGAGTGGGTGGCAGAGAACGTTATCTAGTCAAGAGACAAAGGGATTTTTTGGCTTAAGCGATTCCCGGGTCGTTAGTGAGGGGGTCCAAGTATCCGCGTGATGGTTATCTCGGCTTGATCCCACAGCCCTACTCAGGTCGCCAGGGTAGTGGTCCCTTGACCCAGCTATTTTCCACATCTTTCCTCTCTGAAGACGCGAATGTAAATTTAGCTTAAAGGTCATTGTGACTAATCTTTCTTCAGCACCCACAGGATGGGTATGGGATTCGTTATGAACTAAAGGACTAGCTTATGTATACTGTGTATGTATAAACATAAAACATGCAAGTAATACTGTAATAAAGAGATTAATCTCGATGTTTTTCTTTGATTAGTATATAACATCCGAGTGTGCACGGAATTAGTTTGTTTTCATGTGGTTCTTTCCATGGATTGCTTGTGATTTTGTTTATGCTTTTGTTGCTTGTGGATAATGAGTGAAAGTAACCACCATACCAGTTGTCCTTAACTTTTTTGTTTAGTTTTTTTACCCCATGCACTTTTTTTTTTCTCGTTAGTCTGTCAGTCCCACTACTTTCTAAGATTGGCTGGTTTAAAAAATACATTCAAAATACAGTTCAGTAATATGCATATATACATGTGACGGCAAGTTCTTGGTGCTGCCCTCTGGCGAAATACATATCCATCTGAAACATACTCTAGCGAGCATATAATAATGA